TGGAATAGTAATTAAATAAAACCTGCCAATATTAGTAACTTTAGCACATGCTAAAGTCAAGTCTTCAAGTTTGGGCAGAAGTTTCGATTCGCTGAGAAGTTTTGCACCCGCGTCACACGGCGTGCCTTCTAGATCAGTAAAAATTACTAAATTGTCTTTCCGTAAAATTAACGGGTCTCTTGTTATACCTAAATTTGACGTAAGCATTCGCGTGTGAGTATCAACGCGGGGAATAAAGAATATTATAATCACTTGTACCTACTAAAGTTGCTATAATACTCAAACTTTAGTGCCGTCTTATAATCCCGAGGTAGACCCCTAATGAGTGCATCCAATCCCTCTTTCTCAATTGCCAACTCCACCCTGCGTTCCACACGCCCTGAGTTTTTCGTCGTTTCGTCTAGAACCGACTGGGTGAGTTCCTTTGTTCGACCAAAATAATCGAGCACATGTTCGCCCGGGTCTTATGAATTCCGTAGCAAGCTGTCCCCTGTAGTAGTTTGATCCGCATTTTAATGTAGCAGTAAGAAATTTTAGACGTCACATGACAAAACTGCGACCGTCCAATCGACACAATCGATTCGGAGGCAATTGGGTCCGTGGATCATCAAGATTTAGCACAATTCACTCCAGAGGTCATATTAATAAATTTTCAAGGGTAAGTACACCTCATTCTTCTTTTAAACTTGCGAGTTATTGGCTCTTCTAGCCCGGATCCCTGGTAGAGTACCGGCTTAACGGACTGACCGAAAATAGGGCAATTTTTGTGGGGTTACTCGTTCAACTGCGGGGACGTCACATACCTTATTAAACTTTTTAATAAACATTTATAAACAATATTAAATAAATAAATTCAAATAATACATAATAAACCTTATGTACATTATATTCTGATTTCTTAATTTTTTTCTGTTGAAGTCGAAATCGAAGTAGTCGAAGATGAATATTTGATTTTGGTAATTGCGCATTTATCTCTTCCTCCTTGGATTCTGTATCATATTCATAATCAACTCCTTTTTGACGGAATTCCTTCATTGAATTTGCTGTGTAGAAAAAAACAAACAATCAATTTACATAATTTGACATTAAAATTCTATATTTTTATTCCTTAACATATATTTTTGCTAATAATTTGTTGAAATTTTAGTATGATAATAAGATTATACAGTTAATTGCATTAAGATTTAATATTTGATTCTAATGAGAGAGAACAAAAATATTTAATCAAACGTTAAGAAATTTTCATAGGTATAAAATATTACAGATTTTGTAAACAACGAACACTCGAAATTACTGTATAAAAACATTCGTCGTTTCTAAGAAAAAGATTTAAAGAAAAATATTTCGAAGTACTTTTTCAATCAAAAAAAGAGGGAAAAAAAATCTTTCAAAACATTTTACTTTCTTTTAGATTTGTTTCGCGAATTATGACTCGAACGTTTAAGAATATTAATATAACGTAAGTACAAATAAAAAATAGAAATAGATAAGAAAAATTGAAGATACGTTTGAAAGATTAATAAATGGAACTTTATAACAAATTAAATGAAAAAAGTGTAAATTGCTTGTATACAGAATATAATATATAATATAACTAGAATTATATTACCGCTTGGTCTGTGTAGTTCACATGCCGCACAACATATAGACCGCAAAGGGTGGTCGGTCGGACGTCTGCAAGTATAGCGTTCTGAAATGAAAAAAAAAATAACAAAATATTTTAATTAAAATAAATACAAATAAAAGTTTAAAGAGTAATTCTAATAAAAAGGATTGAATAAAAATTTATATATATATAAATAATAAATATATCTCACTACGCTGAAGCTAATTAGATTGTTTAAGATCAATTTTTGTATTAAATAATAATTGCTAAATGTTAATAAATACAAACACGATTGGTTTAAGTATATTATATTATTTACTTCTTCTTCTTTTTTTCGGAAATAATTATTCTCAACGATATTATATTTAAATTTTTTATTTGTAGGATAAATAATATATAGTTAAGTTTTATATATTAAGTTAAGTTAATATATATAAGTTTTTTTCAAAAAACATTAAATTTTTCAAATTTTTGTTTTCAAAAAAGTACCTTTAAAAAAAAAATTAACAAAAAATCATCTCGATAAGTCAATTTTTGACAAAGTTAAGGCTATTTGAAAAAAGCCATTTTTTTGAAAATCTATAAATATTTATGGATAGAATAAAAGAAAAAATTTGAAAAAATTCAAAAACGAGATCTTATATTACTACTTTTTATTAATTCTTACCGGTTGCCCCTAAATGGCAACCTTATATATAAACCTAGCGGCGTGAGATCGAATCCAGTCGGTCTTTTGGAATTCAAAGTTTCGTCCTTATAGCTGGTCCAATAAGTCCATTGGTCCAGCTGCTCCTTATAGCTGGCGAGGAAATGTTTGTATATTTGGATGACGTGGTTCTTTACGCGAGATCACTCGGTGAGCATCAAACAAAATTTAATAAACTCGCGCATTGTCTTCGTATGGCAAATCTAAAACTGCAACCCGATAAATGTGAATTCCTCAGACGAGAGGTGGTTTATTTGGGCCATATTATAGGAAAGGACGGCGTAAAGCCTGACCCAAAAAAATTAGAGGCAGTAAAAAAATTTCCGCGTCCAGACAACATTAAATCAATTCGCCAATTCTTAGGTCTTGCTGGATATTATAGAAGATTTATACCAGCTTTCTCAAAGGTAGCAAAACCTCTAACAGATTTACTAAAAAAGGAGGCTTCATTCAGATGGGAATCCAGCCAGGAAAACGCATTTTGCTCACTGCGTGATGCCCGGAACCAATTCTACAATATCCAAATTTCTCCCTGCCTTTTAACGTCACAACGGACGCATCCGGTTATGCAATCGGTGCCGTGTTGAGTCAAGGCCCCGTTGGTAGGGATTTGCCCATCTCCTATTGCTCGCAAATTCTAAATAAGGCTGAAATGAATTATTCCACTATTGAAAGAGAGTTATTGGCAATAGTTTTCGCTACAAACTATTTTAGGCCATATTTGTACGGTCGAGAGTTCACCCTCATAACTGATCATAAACCACTAGTTTGGCTAAAATCGGTAAGGGCCCGACATCAAGATTAGTAAAGTGGAGTCTGAAATTGGCCGAGTATACGTTCAAAATTATTTATAAACCAGGAACTACGAATGCTAACGCTGACGCTCTATCACGAAATCCAACAGAAACTAAAAAGGTATTTCCCATAAACACATACGATTCTGATGAGAGTATTGTTCACTTCGAAACTAAGAACACAATGACAAATAACGAGGATAGTGACCCCGACGTAACCAACTGACGGCACAGGTGACCTCGACAACGCGTCACGGTTAGCAACACCAACACTAGAAGACGAAAATACAGACGTTGAAAGCTCTAGTGACTATGAACGACTATACTCCCCACATGCACAATCAAGAATAAACAATAATATAATAATGATAACAAGAAATGTAGGAGTCTCACGATACTCTCTACAATTAAGGCATGACAATATTGTAATATTCACCGATTTAAGGGGCACACCTAGTGTGACAGCCAAAAAAAAGGCGATTTTTGAGAATTAAAAAAAAAAAAAACTAGTGAATCAATCGTTTTAAAATTTTGAGGGTATATTTATACATGTTTTGAGAATACACAGTAAAATTTTTTGAATAATATATTAAATATTTTTGAAATAACACGCGATCTCCGGCGGCGCCAAAAAAAAAAGGTCCTCCACTGCTGGAGTGATTGCAGCCTTCT